CTGTAAATAAGGGAAATCATTGTACTATACCAACCTTAAATGTTGACAACATAACCATTCCACAAGTTGAAAATATAAAATATTTAGGCATTATCATCGATCAGCATTTCAAATGGGATCTACAAATAAAAAATGTTGTAAACAAAATTAGAGGTTTATTATCTAGATTTAAATATTTAAGAGACATTTTAAGCAAAAAAAACACTTGCGCACTCTTTATTTCTATTTAGTTCAATTTCAATTGAGTTATGCTATACTAGGGAGGGGTGGCGCTTATAATATTTATCTAAAAAATCTAAATATAATACAAAAATGGATATTAAAGATAATCCACAACAAATCGTGAAAATATTCAAGCGATATTTTATTTTCAGAACTAAAGGTATTTGACCTAGACAACTTTATTCTTGGAAAATAGCGATAAATATACAGGGTGTCATTGAAATAGTGTTAAAAAATTCGGGAGGTGATAGTACTCCTAAAACTTGTAAAAAAAGTTCCTATAACTATGGGTCGTTAAATACATATTAAGGGATTTAGGGGCGTCAAAAGGGCAAATTTGGAAAGTGTTTTTTTGAAATTGTAAGCTTAAAAAACACGATAAAACTTCGAAAAAATACTTATTTAATCAGAAAGGGTAGTTCTTATAAGGGGTCGATTTATGATTAACTTTTTAGAAGTTGATTTTTTTACAACAACTACCTTTTTTCCATAAAAAAGTTACTCTTATTGCAAGTCGCTTAAAGCAACCGTTTTCGAGAAAATTGAAGGCAAAGAGTTTGGTAAACCTGTAGCTGAAAAACAAAAAGTTAAATTACTTATTTTTTTATGGGTATCTCACAGATTAATAAACATAAATTTATGAAAATTGTGACGTGTTGAACTAATCAACCTCCCAAAAAACTCATAAACACTAAAGAAAAAAAAATATTTTCAAGTAATGTCGAAGAAATTTTATTATGAAAAATTATTTTTTATCTGTGGGTCAATTTTTTTCTCTCAACTTTACAATCGGAAGGTAAGTGGCAACCCAAACCCCAGAAGAAATTTGTGGTCACGCCACTGTCAATGAATACTTTTTGTAAATGGAATAATCAAATTAGGACAGAACAATAGCTATGTACATGGCCTTATCACAATTTTTTTATTTTAATTTAGCAAAAAGAAATTGTAAATAATTTTGCCTAAAATTATTCTGGTTTTTAAGTATTTCTGTCAGTTTCTTGTTGTTGAAGTGTACGTGAGCGTAATACCTATACCAGAAATTATGGAATACACTGTACTTGAACTGACAGATATGCATTTTATTTATGGAAGAGCGAACGGAAACGATCTTTTAGCTAAACGTCTGTATATTCAAAAATATCCAAATCGCAGAGCACCCTCTCATAGGATATTTGCCAGAGTCCATCAGCGCCTGAGAGACGAAGGTTAATTTAGTAATAGTCACCATGATCGCGGCCGTAATGTTACAGTGCGTACACCAGCAATTGAAGAGCGAATTTTAAGAAGTGTAGAGGAAGATCCAGGGTTATCTGTAAGGAGAATTGCAGCGCGAGAAAACGTAAGTCGCCATACTGTGTGGATGACTCTTCATACTCAACTGCTGTATCCATACCATATCCAAAGGGTACAAGCCCTTAATCCTCCAGACTATCCCGCTCGTGCCAATTTCTGTCGTTGGTTATTAAGAAAACTGGTTGAAGATCCCTTTTTTCTGTCAAACATTTTATGCACTGATGAAGCAGGATTTACCAAAAATGGGATTGTTAATTACCACAACACCCATTTCTGGTCCGATCAAAATCCTCATGCTGTCATAGAAAGCCGACACCAAGTTCGATTCTCAGTAAACTTTTGGGCGGGAATTCTTGGAGATAGACTTATTGGACCATTCTTTCTACCCAATAGGTAAATTTTAAAACTGTTCAAACGTCACCAATTCCTAATTATTATTATTCTTTTAGGCTTAATGGACAAAATTACCTTCATTTTTTGGTAAACCATTTACCAGGCGTTGGATAGGACGTGGTGGTCCACAAGCTTGGACAGCCAGATCACCAGAGCTTAATCCACTTGATTTCTACTTGTGGGGTCACTTAAAAGCTTTGGTTTACTCAGTACCGATTAATACTGAAGAACAACTACGACAACGGATAATTGGCTGCTCCAATCAAATTCGTACAACGCCAAGGATTTTCGATAGAGTACGCAGATCCTGGAGGAGAAGAGCAGGTGTCTGTATTGAAATGAATGGTGGCCAAATTGAACATTTACTTTAAATAAAAGAGTCAGACTGATATGATAAAAAAATACGGTACTTTCCATAATAGTAATAAAATATTTTTCACTTTAATTTCTCACTCTTTTATTATTTAAAATAATTTTGGCGCTTCTCTTGTTTAACAGGGCGATTTGGTAATTCTAAATTGAAATAAGCACGGCATAATTTTCATAAAATAATGTTGATTAACCTGTGAGCAACCCATCAAAAAATAAATACATACTTTGTTTTTCAAATACGGGTTCAGTAAAATGTTTGCCTTCAATTTTCTCGAAAACCATTGCTTTAAGAGACTTGCAATAAGAGTACCTTTTTTATGGAAAAAAGGTAGTAGTTTTTAAAAAATAGACCCATGTTGTAAAAAAATCAACCCCTAAAAAGTTTTCGAAGTTTTATCGTGTTTTTTAAGCTTACTATTTCAAAAAAACCACTTTCCAAGTTTGCCCTTTTGACTCTCCTAAATCCCTTAATATGCATTTACCGACCCATAGTTATGGGAACTTTTTTTACTAGTTTTAGGCGTACTATCACCTCCCGAATATTTTTTACACTATTTCAATGACACCCTGTATATAAAGGGAAGACTAAACTCGATGAAACCAGACATATGCACCAAACTAGGAATAAAGCAAATAAATACTACTCACCCCGAAAAACAAATTAATAGGTTGTAGATCTTCTTCATATTTGGCTCCTCGAATTTATAATTTCATTCCTATCGAAATACAAAAAGAGAAAAGTCTTTATTCTTTTAAAAAGAATCTTAAAAAATGGTTTTTATATAAATCCAGGTCAAATATTGACAATATAATAAATTAAAAATAAATTCATTCAAAGAAAATAAAAGTATATTCAAAAAATTTTATATATAAACAAAATAATACTTACATACCGAGTTGTCAATAATTATTTACTCTTATATATATTTTACTTCCATAGTGGTCTAAAGTAGTGTATCAATTTACACTATCAATTTAAATTTATATACCGATTTAGACATATACATATATTTATAGATTTAGACATGTATACCAATTTAGACATAGACATATACAGGGTGGACCGTATACAGAGATCTCGTAAACCGTAAAATATAAATTGTCGGTTATATAGGGAATACTTTTTTTATATTTAGCTGCACGTGTTGGAGAACTGGTGAGATCTTTGAATACACCGGAAGCATCTCGTTTTCCAGCTTCCGGCAATTCTACTTAGCAGCATGTATGATTACTTCTTTATCTGAAGTAGATCGAATCTCCTCAGTTTTCCTTCTTTTAGTTCGATTACTTGACTCTCCAAATGACTTACGTGACCGGCCTGGCCGATTTTGTGTAATTACGGGAATCTCAAAAGTTCCGTTTAGCCATGCATCATTGTATTTGTAAAATACCTTTCTTTTACTTGAGACTTAAAGGGTACGTAACTGCGTTTCAAACACTCAATTTGGTCTTCGGTGTATCCTTCGCACGACTAAAGTTGTTCTTTTAAGAAATCTAGGTTTTCTTCCAATCCTGAAAAAAAATATTTTTTGTTGGTTGGCTAAGGCCAATTTTTTGTTTTTTGTATTTTTTTGGTGGTAACATATCAAGAACTTGTTAAATTCAATATTCAAAAATGCGATAAAAATACAATGAAAATACAATAAAAATACAATATAAATAATAAAAAATACGATAAAAATATTATACAAACACGATAAAAATACGATAAAAAAAACGATAAAAATACGATAAAAATACGATAAAAATACGATAAAAATACGATAAAAATACGATAAAAATACGATAAAAATACGATAAAAATACGATAAAAATACGATAAAAATACGATAAAAATACGATAAAAATACGATAAAAATACGATAAAAATACGATAAAAATACGATAAAAATACGATAAAAATACGATAAAAATACGATAAAAATACGATAAAAATACGATAAAAATACGATAAAAATACGATAAAAATACGATAAAAATACGATAAAAATACGATAAAAATACTATAAAAATACTATAAAAATACGATAAAAATACGATAAAAATACGATAAAAATACGATAAAAATACGATAAAAATACGATAAAAATACGATAAAAATACGATAAAAATACGATAAAAATACGATAAAAAATACGATAAAAATACGATAAAAATACGATAAAAATACGATAAAAATACGATAAAAATACGATAAAAATACGATAAAAATACGATAAAAATACGATAAAAATACGATAAAAATACGATAAAAATACGATAAAAATACGATAAAAATACGATAAAAATACGATAAAAATACGATAAAAATACGATAAAAATACGATAAAAATACGATAAAAATACGATAAGAATACGATAAAAATACGATAAAAATACGATAAAAATACGATAAAAATACGATAAAAATACGATAAAAATACGATAAAAATACGATAAAAATACGATAAAAATACGATAAAAATACGATAAAAATACGATAAAAATACGATAAAAATACGATAAAAATACGATAAAAATACGATAAAAATACGATAAAAATACGATAAAAATACGATAAAAATACGATAAAAATACGATAAAAATACGATAAAAATACGATAAAATTACGATGAAAATACGATGAAAATACTATATGTAGGGTTAACTTTAAATAAATTTCATATTTAGTTAGATCAATTAATTATTAATATATTTACATATATTTTTTGTTTCAGATTTCTGGTATTATTATTTTAGCCATTGGAATATGGGTGCAAGTAGAGTTATACAAATATATGGAGATGAGTACTGCTTTTAGCAGTACCGCACCATATGTTCTAATTGCTACGGGATCTTTAATAATTCTCGTTGGTTCTTTTGCTTGTTGCTGTACGGTTAAAGGACAACCATCGCTGCTTTACACAGTAAGTATTCTATATGAGTATTCGATTAGTTTTAGCTTCTTGTCATTACTTATTGTACGAATTTGGAATACAAATCTGCCTGACTCACCAATTGATAAATTAATTAATTTTTTTGGTGGACTGTAATTAGGAGCTGAATTAATCGATACAAGCTGTGTTAAAGCTTAGCTGATCGCGGAAAGAACGGGTGACGTAACAATCGATAAAAGCTAAAAAGCTCGAAACAAAACAAATAGAACACTGAACAAAATGTTGAAGTATCTCAACGAATAACTGACAGAACAAAAAATTAATTTAAAAATAAACATTTTCAGATCAACAAAGCTTTTGATGTACAATCTTGTTTTGGTTGAGAAAACTTTTGTAAGCTAAAATGATCCTTATAGAATTTTAAGGCAAATTGTAGCAAAGATCACACTACGTTGTTAAAACATGTTTTTAAACTTAGCACCTGTTAGCATATTTCATAAATACTACATGGACTACATGCTTGTCCTGTAATATACATTAATTTAGTTATTGCTATCCACACTATCAACATTTGAATAGTGTGGATAACAAGTTGATGGTTCAAGCCGCGAAACTTATAGTTTTATTATTTCACAGTCTTGGTAATTTAACATGTTTAGTTTTTAAAAAGTATATAGTTATTCAATGCATAGTGGCGCATAACGAGGTAGATTCATTTTTATGTTGGCCGGCAATTAAACCCCGGAAAAAGTGTCTGCCTATTTGGAATTAATTTTTTTTATAATTAACTAAGAGGCTATTAAAATATCAGCGTGAATCAAACACTTCATTTATTAATTATAAACCCTCTCAAAAGTGTCTGCCTAAATTACTAGTATTTTTAGAATTACCTAAACTTTTAATTGGTGTTTGTTGGCTTCTGAATCAAACACTTCTTTTGGGTCATATTTTACGGTGATCAGACAGAACAGAACTTGACAAAATAGAACAGGACAAAACAGAACATGACAAAACAGAACTTGGCAAAACAGAACACAAACAAATCTCTCTATCTCTATCTCTATCTCTATCTCTATCTCTATCTCTATCTCTATCTCTATCTCTATCTCTATCTCTATCTCTATCTCTATCTCTATCTCTATCTCTATCTCTATCTCTATCTCTATCTCTATCTCTATCTCTATCTCTATCTCTATCTCTATCTCTATCTCTATCTCTATCTCTATCTCTCTATCTCTATCTCTATCTCTATCTCTATCTCTATCTCTATCTCTATCTCTATCTCTATCTCTATCTCTATCTCTATCTCTATCTCTATCTCTATCTCTATCTCTATCTCTATCTCTATCTCTATCTCTATCTCTATCTCTATCTCTATCTCTATCTCTATCTCTATCTCTATCTCTATCTCTATCTCTATCTCTATCTCTATCTCTATCTCTATCTCTATCTCTATCTCTATCTCTATCTCTATCTCTATCTCTATCTCTATCTCTATCTCTATCTCTATCTCTATCTCTATCTCTATCTCTATCTCTATCTCTATCTCTATCTCTATCTCTATCTCTATCTCTATCTCTATCTCTATCTCTATCTCTATCTCTATCTCTATCTCTATCTCTATCTCTATCTCTATCTCTATCTCTATCTCTATCTCTATCTCTATCTCTATCTCTATCTCTATCTCTATCTCTATCTCTATCTCTATCTCTATCTCTATCTCTATCTCTATCTCTATCTCTATCTCTATCTCTATCTCTATCTCTATCTCTATCTCTATCTCTATCTCTATCTCTATCTCTATCTCTATCTCTATCTCTATCTCTATCTCTATCTCTCTCTCTCTCTCTCTCTCTCTCTCTCTCTCTCTCTCTCTCTCTCTCTCTCTCTCTCTCTCTCTCTCTCTCTCTCTCTCTCTCTCTCTCTCTCTCTCTCTCTCTCTCTCTCTCTCTCTCTCTCTCTCTCTCTCTCTCTCTCTCTTTCTCTCTCTCTCTCTCTCTCTCTCTCTCTCTCTCTCTCTCTTCTTTTAATTTACACAGAAATGTAAAAGGTTTATGTAAGCTATACTTTCCTTCTCATAAATATGATTGAGGATTTTAGAAACACTGTTGGGCAATCCTAAATATACCTTCAGTTTATTTTCATTTATTTTGAGAGTTCAATGGTCTTGAATAACCTGCTCATTATTATTAAATCCCTCTGAATCAAATATTAAAGATGTTTCTTCTGATTCAGACAAAACTTTACTATCTTCAAAACTTTCAGGAGGTTCCGAAGGGGGGTTTTAGGTTATACACCTTCGAACTTATAGTAGGCCCATTTTAAATTTCCTGAAGGGGGCAATGTCAAATTACTACTGCATCTTGAAGATCCGGTGTATTTTAATTAAATAGAGATAAAAACGCCTCTAGTAGATTATTTTCCAGTCAACTTTTTAGACATTTTTTTTCTGTTTTTGGTAGAATCAGTGAGGTGTGGTGAATAACAAGAACTTTGCAGACATTTGTGTGGTACTACCCATTTATATGTAAAGGTTTATCCATCATTTAAAAAATGAACAGTTTTCAAAATCATCCGGTATCTAAAAAAAAAAGAAAAAACATCGTTACTACAATGGTAGATAATTGAAGTCTAATAAATTACAATAAAACATTTTCATTTTAATAAAGAGTATAAATACTATACAAACCTTAAAATAATTTAGCTGTTGCTTGAAGCTTTTCTGTGTAATAATAATAATAATAATAATAACTTCCTTCTTTTCATATTTTTGGCAACACTAATAAATATATATAATAATAAATGTAAATCATTATCACATCTTGGGAGGAAATATTTTTTCATACTCCTCATATTATTTTATAAAAACGAAAATTAAATAATTATCTATTGATATTATTGACACAAAATTACAAGATTTCAGGTTAAAAATCGATTCTCGGCACCTAAAGATGAAGCGAGTGACACTGACATTTAAGATCGATATATATCCCTTCTCGATATCCGAGATATGAATCGCAAAATCTTTCTCGTTACAACACGTCTCGAGTACGAAACATGAGAATCCCACTGCTGTTTTGTCCTGTTCTGTTTTGTCAAGTTCTGTTTTGTCATGGAACCATATTTTACGACCCCTTTCTATTATGCGCAGTATCTGGTGTCCCGGAGTGGGTCTAGCCAACACAGGTATATCTGCTTTACCATCCAAATGATTTCAAATTACAAAATTTCAAAGTGAATCAAACACTTAATGAAATGTGTGTTACTAGCTCTCCGGCTATAAGCAAATTTTTTTGTAAACACTGCTGTCTCCATCGAAGGCCAGACATTTGGGCGCCGCCGTCCGGGCACCGTCGTTTGACCGCTGGGACTTTTGGGCTCTGCCGATTTAGCTCTGTATGTTTGGGCGACGGAATTTACAAATATTAAAAATAGACCAAGATTTTTTTATTTATCGTAAATTGTTAGCTAAATAATATATATTTTTTTTATTTAAAATCTTAAAATGTTTAAAAATCTTAAAACAAATAAAATTATTTATTGATTGATAACTAAAATCAGATTACAAATAGGTATCTAAATAGTACATATAGTGTGTTCTATAATTGTGAAATACCTTTATTGTTTCCTAAACTAAAAATATTTCTATAAAACCTGAAACACATCGATTTTTATTTTTAAAATCCTTTTTTTGCGTAATTATAAAAGATTTAGTATACAAATTTAGGATGTACTAAGTATCAAGGGATTAAGAGAATTAAGAGTTTTAAGATTATTTTCACATAGATAAAGAAGGTAGGAACAGTTTATTTAAAATGTTGTAAAAGTAATCTTCCTGAGAATTATAAATTATTTTGGAACAATTAAGGATTTTAATGGTATTTTTACAAATAAATTAGGTACTAAAAGTTTATTTCAAATGATTTTTCCTACGACTACTTAGAAAAGTGACACATATCACACTATATAGTCCTATGGAAAGTCCCCTATATCACACGCTTATGAATATTAATTTACTTTCCACCCGTGTGCGAATATGCTACTTTCCGCATCAGCTGTCACAAAATGTCAAACGTATCATTTCTATTTTGATCTATGTAATGTCCATATTAATACTAAAATCGATATGATTGTTAAATTATTGACATTGTTGTATATTAGATCCTAGATATTTATCCTGTAATAACTAGATAGGAAAGTCATGTCGTCGGTTAAGAGTGTAAACCTGCTAAGTCCATTTTTTTCAGTTTTAACATTTTATGTTTAAAAATTCAAAAAAAATTGGAGAATTTTAACTTTAAAGCTGCGAAGTCCCACAAGCACAACTAACGAGAATATTTCGCTTCCCGAATAAGTGCTATATCCAAACGCTGTTGCTAGGTACACGCTAAAGTGTACGCAAATCAAAAAAATTATATACACGCGAAACGTCATATTGCTGTAGTGGGAGGTGTTTATGTGAATGCGTCTTGTTTGTTTTCATTTACGCCGTGAATAGCACAGTAGTATTTTATAAACCTTAGAAGCAAATTTCACATACATGAACAAATAATAATAATGTCGTGAAAACAAGAAAACGAAGTAACGACTTCTCGTTAGGTGGCGGCTTCGCCGCCACAAAAAAATTTCAATCCATACTTAGCTACGAACGGTGTAAACACCAACGGCCTGCACACAGCTCACACTTACTCTGTCAAGACGTTTCGCGTGTATATACATTTTTGAATTGCGTACAAGTTAGCGTGTACCTAGACACTGTGATATCCGAACCACTAAATATATAAACCGTAAATATGTATAAAGTCCCACAGAGATGTGCATTTTGCGTGTTGACATTTAACCGGCGTGACGTGATTTGTGTACAACGTATATTTTAATAGATTTATAACATTTAAGGTGATTACAGCACCCCCTTATAATTTTCGGACAAGGATATCTCAAAAAGTAATTTTTCTAGAAAATTTAAATTTGGGCAAAATAAATTAGGCAATAATATCTAGAACATGCATATTTTTTAAAGTTTTAATTCCTTCCAGTTTCCGAGAAAAAAAATCAAAGGGCTTTAAATTTTGAAATATCATAATGAAAATAAATGCATTCCTCAACAGCACTATTCTTAATATAATCCCCAAATTTAAGCTCTCAATCTCTTGTTAATGATTTTTTAAAATTCGCCGAAATTAGTGGCTAAAACGCCTTGTTAAGTGCTTTTTTCTAGTGTAACGCGTCTGTAACTATCGTATCGTACACTCTGAGTCATGATTCGTTTCTTGCAACGATTTACACCAGTTTACACCAGCTGAAATTTCAAGAAGATCTCAATCCGTTTTATATCATTTAAGAATACATGACACTAACATTCGGGTTTGTCGTGTCATGTTCCTAAACACTTTAGTCACAGGCAGAATTACGGTTTTGGATTGGAAAGAAAAGAAAGGACGTGGAACAAAAAAGCAACATAATAAAACTGATAAAACGGAAAATCATAAACCTTTTGACAGAGAAAATAGAGAACTGATAAACTTTGTAAATTATCTTCCCAAAATGGAATCCCATTATTGTAGGGCTTCTACAAAAAAACAATATCTTCTACCAGAGTGGCAATCAAAAAATAACCTTTATAGATTTTACGTTAATGATTTTTGCAAATCTCCAAACGTATCATCGCTTTCAATAACCACTTTTAACCAGGTGTTAGAATTGCACAACATTTCTCTCTACCATCCTAAGAAAGATCAGTGTGAGAAATGCGCAGGATTTAAAGTAGGACACATTGCAGAACAAGAATATAATATACATATAGCCAAAAAGGAGGAGGCTAGGAAAGAAAAGGCCAAAGATAAAGAAAATGAAAGGTTTGTCTTCACAATGGACCTACAGGCTGTTCTAATGGCTCCAAAATCGAAAATTTCGAGCTTGTATTATAAAACCAAGCTCTCTATACACAATCTTTGCTATTACAACATAATTAACCAAGATGGATTTTGCTACCTCTGGAGCGAAGTTGAAGGTGGAGTTAACGCTGAAGAATTCGCCTTCATTTGTTCAAAATTTATTGTAGAAAAAGTATTGCCGTCTGTTGACCGTGGAAATATTAAAGATATAAAAGTCCATTCTGTATAGTGATGGTTGTACCTACCAAAATAGGAATGTAACCGTAACGAACGCTTTACTCAATGTAGCCATTTACTACAAAATAACTATTGAACAAAAGTATTTAGAGGTTGGGCATACACAAATGGAGGCGGATTCCATGCATAGCACTATAGATAGACATCTCAAAGACAGGTCAATCAATGTACCGGCAGAATATTACTCAATATGTCAAAAAGCCCGTATGAAGCCAAAGAACTATGATGTGTCCTATATAAACCATACGTTTTTTAAGAAATTTAGTAACGTGTAATATTTCAAGAGTATTCGTCCAGGGAAATTAAAAGGAGATTCAAAGGTGAGAATAAACTTCATTACTATAAAACTTTTTTTTTGTTGCGTTACTAGTCAAAAAATATAAATTATAATACCTTCTATTCGCTTACATTTTTGGTAACTTGGCTATTTATTTAGGCATATTATTTTGTTTTTAAAATATCACTTATTTGCTACTATTACAGTCGTTTCTGTTTCTTAACTATTCACTCTTCTTTGTAATTTTATACTGTTCATGTTTTTAGGTTTTGGATATTCGAGCCCTTAAGTACAGTTCAAATGGAGACGTTCACTACAAACTACGATTTTCTGAAGAATGGCAAATATTACCTCAAAGGCGGACTCCTGGAATTAAGGCATGTTCTATGGATGAGCTAGATCAGCTTCATTCAGAAAGGCTTAAGATTAAAAACAGGAAGTTTATGGATCTGCAGGCGCTTAAAGCTACTTTGGCCGACGATTACCACGACTTCTATGATAGGCTTCCCCATGAATAGTGTTTTTTTATTGATAATGTAACTTTTTTGAATAAAAGAAAACTTTGAATCAAAAAATATTTTATTACATTATTGTAAGAAAAGTTGCCAAATCCAAAAATATACATATATTTTTTTATAAAACCTGCTGTCTCCAAAAAATACGAATAAAAAATTAAAAATAAAGTTAGGGCATGTTTTAAGAATTTACAAATGATGTTTACACAACAATGAAGAAACGCTATTTTTGAATTTATGATCCCATAGCTCATGAAATGTTTAAAAGGTTTTATTCATCTCCTGTAAAACTAGGTATAATGGACTTAGCAGTTCTACACATTTAGGTGACGATGTGTTGGACACATCAGATTTTTTTCTTTAGAAACATGTATTATAAAAATAGTCTAACCTTTTGCTAGTAACCGTACGACTTTTCTTTCATACTTAGCTACACAACACGTAAAAAATAATAAAAAATATATTATACTAAATTTTTACAATTAAAAGAGCGTTTTAGACACTGGCCGAATCACTTTATATTTACTAATCGCCAAGTTACCGTTGGTTACAGGTATCTGATAAAGAGGGAAATATTTTCACAAGTTCGAAATAAAAATATTATTGGAAAACGGTTTACTACAAATTTCAATTAGTTTTTGATATTAGCAAAAACTTGTAAATAGAAAAAATAGATAAAAATCAGCTACAAACTCCAGTTTTCCAAAAATTGATATTTGCAAATTAATAAAATTTAATATTCATTTTTAATTTTTATTTAAAAAAGTATGATGTAACAAAAAAATTAACATATTAGAGATTATTAGGGTGCTTCTTTTGAATACTTCAGCAAAAAATGAAATTATATTGATGATAAATAATTAAGATACATGGATAATGCTAAAATAATGAACCGCGAAAACAGCTTCAACGGATACTGTTAATGTGTTTCTTACAGAGGAAGTTAGTGTGAAGGTTTCTAATTTTATCCAGGGACATTGATTTTTCAATTTTTCCATTAATTTACTACTTTGTGTGTGTTTTTTTTTAAAGTAACGAAATCTTTGAATATACAACAAACGTATAGCAGTTCAATTTTTGATAAAAACATTAAACACCCGTTATGTCAGTAATATAAATGTTGCTGAATAAGTCGGTTTAATCTCGAAATACCATATATAACGGCTTGAACAATTATTTAATTAATACATATTAAATTGTTGTGAAATCAATAAATTGCTGTAATATTATAATTATATTATACATGGCGCCCACCATGGAGACACCGAAGTCTAATTCAGTTGACCGGTATGTCTACTGCTAGAGCCGCCGCTGATTCAATCCATTTACGTCCATCTTTCCGTATGGGTGGTTTTAAATAATGACAAATTGTTCTTAGATTTCTCGAAGGTATACGTCAAGTTTTGAATTGCCTGTTACATGTTATTTCCTTTTTACAATGAAAAAGTAATGCAAAGTTCATTGTTCTATGTGTCACAATGAGGAAGATGGTATTTTAAGAAAGGAAGAGGTGTAAAGGAAGTGTTTAACCTAGATCCTTATAAGTTTTGTATCTAGAATACGAGGAACATTGAATAGGCGAGATTAATATGAATTGCTCACTTAACAAAAATGTTTTAGTCTAATTGAATTTAAATACTCTTCATTAGCAATCTAAATAGTAATAAAAACGTAATTTTTGACATATTTTCAAAATTAAAGGTTCTTATAAAAGTTGAATCACATAAGAAATATAAAAAAAAATAATAATAAATATTATTATTATAATTATTAAAAAAATTTATCTGACTTTTACTAATTTATAAAATAAAATAGATTTAATTAAATTAGTCTGCAATCCTAGATACCTATGTACTCAAGAATTCTCGCATTACAGCCAAATGCGATAATCTCAGCTCCAACGATACACCTAAAATTTTAGTTCTAATTCACGTAAATAAATTGATTTCATATAATTTTATTAAAATTTTTTTTTTTAGTATGGAGCATTTTTGGCTGTTATCTTTTTATTAGAACTGGGAGCTGGTATTTCAATTTTCGCTTACCGGAACAAGCTAACCGATGGATTTGACAAAGGGATTACACAAGCTATGATGAATTACCGAAACGACAGTGGACATTTAGCTCAAGATTTCGATCTAATGCAAGAAACTGTAAGTATTCTTTTATCTCTAGTATATTGAGTTACTAGTGTAAGATGTTTTCTTGCCTATAAGAAAATATTACCCTTACTAGTGACACCCTAGGACTCGGAAGTACTCGAGCGCCAGTTTTATTAATGTGGTTTGCTCCACAACACAGGTAGCTTCTAGTGGAGATGACGGAAAAACTCCAGGGGTCTAGTTGATGTAAGAATATACACATAAGAGGGTAACAATAACGGGCTTTAATCGTTATTGTTACGTTTAAAGAATTGTCGAAGCTGAAAGTCGTTATAACCCTGAACAAAAAAAATAACAAAAATAAGCGGTTGCGGACGATGGCTTGACAGGTCGGAGCTCAATCAGACGTGATTTAGATAAATATACAGATAAAAGCAAATGACACGGAGTTCTGAATTAAATCGGATTACGGTAGCATTTACTTATGAACAGGGAATATATACGGAAATAGAATTCAATATTAACAATTATGAAAAATAAAATTAATCGGTACCAGGTAACTAGTTTAGCTTCCCATCTAATATCCCACCCTTTTGGAATTAAATCAAAGTAAAAGACAAAATGTAACCACGGATAATATCTAATTTCCAGCAGTGTGACGACACAATCACGCATACAAAACACTAGCTAGACATCAGATACTATTTATTTTTTTTTGTACGGAACTCAAATAAACGTGTTTTCGGTCGTGACCCCCTTTTAAAAAAAATTAAAAAAAATAATCCACGGATAATGTCTAATCACTAGTAGTGTAGCGACACAATCACGCATACAAAACACTAGTTAGTTTTCAGACAATATCTTCTTTTCTTTTAAACTTTAATCGAAAAACTAATTAAAGGAAAATTAAACTAAATTTTATCACGGATAATACCTAATCACTAGCAGTGTAGCGACACAATCACGCATACAAAACACTAGCTAGGTATCAGATAGTATTTACTTTTCTATACGGAAATAAAAAAAAATGTGTTTTCGGTCGTGACCCCTGTTTAATAAAATAAATAAAAAAAAAAAAAAATCCACGGATAATGTCTAATCACTAGTAGTGTAGCGACACAATCACGCATACAAAACACTAGTTAGTTTTCAGACATTATTTTTAATCATTAAATCAATTACGAGTATCACCCTGTATTTAATTTAAAGGAAAGAAAATTTCTTCGTGCGTCTTCGGTTCTTGCTTAAAATCCACGGATAATGTCTAATCACTAGTAGTGTAGCGACACAATCACGCATACAAAACACTAGTTAGTTTTCAGACATTATTTTTAATCATTAAATCAATTACGAGTATCACCCTGTATTTAATTTAATGGAAAGAAAATTTAAATAAAAGAATCAACTACTGTAAAAAAAAAGTTAACCTAGACCTGGCAGCAATTAATTGTTTAATCGGAGGCGGCTGGTACTGCTAAGAATTGCTGCTTACTCTTACTAGCTCAAGCGTCGGCGGAAAGATAATGAGATCTGGCCAAATCATCTGGCCGGTGCAGCTTGTTTTACAGGTGATTTTCGCCACTCGTCGTGCAAACTCGATTATTAATCGAAGATTGAGGTGGGGAAATGCAGGCGATCGTCCGCTGACTTATAAAATATTTTGATGGGAAGATTCAATATATTGTAAACGTTTGAAAACGCGAATTTTTAACGTTAAAGCTAAATGATGAATATAGTATTTTTAATACAAATCCCGATGCACGTCAGCAATGACGTCGGTCATTCGTCATAGTACTACCAACTAATTAAAATGTCCCTAACTAAGCTAATAATCCGAAAAAGTCACGTATAGTCACGAGCATTCATGAACGTAGTCATATTACTAAAAAGTCGAAAACCGTTATGGTGATTATTTTGATAATTTTAAGAATTATTTAAATTATTTAGTTTATACATGTCTAATTCTTGATAATATAAAATTTTTAAAAACATTATTAAATGTTTAGTACTCAAAAAATAATACTTTACATTTAATAATTTTGACATTCTGTACGCCCATGAAGCTCGTATTTATAGAAAAGAAATGTCATTACAGCAATTGGTACACCTTGTTGCGGTGTTGCAACCCCTTTTTAAAAAATTTCACTGATTTAGTTAGGTTATGTTTATGTTGAGTTAATTATTGATTGTGCATTTTGTTTTCTGTAATTTAAAATCCTTTTGCCTGTATTTTTAAGCTTTACCAGTTATACTTATAAAAAACTGTTTTTCAAAACAACCATAGAGTGAATAAGCTAATTATTTGTCGTTTAATTTTTATATACAAAATGCCTAAGAAACTAAATAGTCCTTGTAAGGAGTTGATAGCTTCTTTAATCCATTATTTTGAATGAGAGCGTGATAATGATGGACCACGTTTACCTTTAACTGCCGTAAGAGAGGTAAGTTACAAGTTATAAAATTTAATAGAAATATGAAATTATTTTCTTGTCTTTTTTAGTGTGTTGCAGCATCTCTAAATAAAAATATTTCTATTGTCAGTAGTATTTGGCAAGCAGTCAAGAATAATGAATGATTAAAATCGCTAATTAAAAAGCATTCATATAAACAAAAGATTACCTACTAATACAATAACACTGGATACAAGTGGAATCCGAAGTGGTATTTATAATATGTATGAAACAAGTAAGTATAAAGACAAATCTATTAATTCAATCATAATTTATTTATATTACCTATAAAAGTTTTAATTTGTATACAGTAATATAAATACATACTTATTTGCAGGGGAACATATAACTTTGGAACCTTTAAGAGAAAAGTTGATTGAGAGACAAATGTTTAATGGCTATATTGCATCATTGTCAACTGTATTAAAAGAATGAAGGAAAAAAGATAACCAAGACGTGAACTGTAAATAGGTCAGTTTTTAAGAAATTATAGAATTACAACAGAAGCAGTTCGTTGTCATTGATGAAACATGTATCGTTCAAAATGAAACATTAAACAGCTCCTGGGAAAATAATGACAAAGGGTGTTAGACCTACAAAAATCGATGGCAAGAGATAAAACCAAATTTGAAGTAAATTAAGGTATCAGTAATTGTGTAAATCAAGTAAAAAAAAATTAATATTGAAATGACACATCATATTGAAGATTTAATGGTAGATACGCTATTCTAGCAATCATATAAAGACAATTTAATTGGAAAAATTTGATTACAGTGGTCAATAAACATCTACATGTTTTACACATTTTCAAGATGTACAGTGAAACCCAAAAATGCCTTTTCTTTCAGAAATAAACTTTAAAACAATATCAAAAAATTAAAAATGAAGTTACAAGATTTGATATAACGGTGTACCTAACATTAAATCATTGATATAATGTGTTGTTTCGATATTACAATTTAGAATATAGCGATATTAACACACGTTATACGAAATGGCAACTAAATAGAAATAAATAAAACATTCTTTTTTCAGGTGCAAACTGCCAAAGAAATATATGGTAGATAATTACCTAAGCAGCAAAATATAGACAAAGTATTACGTAATCTTCCCTGCCATTGTATTTTTAACTCCATTGAACTTATTTGTGACCTTTCTAAGCAATATTATAATAAACATATTGGCAGAGAGGGAGTTTTTAATAGATTGGAAATTATTTTTATTATAATTAACCCTAATAGCGATATCGATGACTGCGATTCAAATACTTGCGATCTGGATTAGGAGAAATAAAAGAATTTTATAGGAATAATGAAGATTAGTAGATGAATAATTGTTTTTTTATGAGAAAATAGTGTAATTAAAAAAAAAACATTGTCTTATTTTTAAAACAATAAACAGTTTGATATATTTCTTATATATCTGTATTTTTATTTAATTTATTCCAAGATATAAAAAAAATATTTGACTGAGAATAACATTTTTCAAATGTTTTTTGAAGCTGATAGAATGGAGAATCTTGATGTTTGAGTGATGAATCTATTGTTCATACATGTTTCGATAACTTTAGAGTTGAAAAGAAGTAGCGATATATGTTTATTTTTGAAGCATTTCTGGCTATCTTGAATACTTGAGCTACAGAACCGTTACTGAAAGTGAGATTTACTAAAGCATCTACTCAAATATTTTAACAATTTCCTTCTTGTATTCAAATATTTTAGCATTTTCAAACTTTAATTTTTTAAGTATAGGTATCTACTGATATTATGAATCCTCCACATGTCTTTGTAGTTTTCATTTTTTCAATGACCTCTTTAATTTTATGGAGTGTTGTGGTTTATAACTTAAATATAGTTCTGTTAAATAACTTTCTTGGTGAAATTAAATTAGTTTTAGATATTTTCTATGCTAATTGTAAACCAATTTTGATCCATCTGCAATATACTACCTTACAGTTTTATTTTCCATGACTTGCATAATATGTTTAAAGCTTTTTTGTTTAGATGTTTATTATTCATAAAGGAATTCAATATTTTCCGTTAGTTATATACATTTAAAACTAATTGTTCCTACTATATAGTAACATAACAAATACATAACCTTACAATTTTAAAAAATTCTAAATTCCTCAACTATTCTGACGATTAGGCAACACTGCAAGGTCGTGACGTCATAAATGATCTCTGACGTGCATCGGGATTTGTATTAAAAATACTTATAAGAAAAATAAAATAAAAATAATAATTCGGTTTTCCGACGGATCCTATATTTCTTAAATAAATAAAAAAAAAGTAACTTCGTTACACTAGGAGTAGAAGGTGACTTTTATTATTGAGTCCAGAATCTGATGCGCCAGCCAATGATAAGCAATCACAGCAAAGCATATAGAATCATTCTAATCCTAGTGGTATATGATATTGTAATAGATTTTCTCGTTACTTACTTCGGGACGTCTTAATATGCCATTACACGGCGTGTGAAGTGCCGCGCCCAGCGTGTGGAATGCCGCGTTCCTTTAAACCTCCCTCTCACTACATTTGAATTAAGTAATAATTTTCTCCTAGATCTTAAAAATACCAGCCCCGGACCAGACGATATTCC